TCTTCTTTCCTGGATTTCTTGTACTTACTTCCGAAATTTCTGGGTAACTAAAACAGGCTACATTTCTTCCCCTTCTTTTTTTTCCTTTTTTCTTTCTTTCTTTCTCCTCTGTGCTGTTAGCCTGTAGCTTCATCGTCTCTGGACTGCCCAGTGGCATGGCCAAATTTTTCAGATTTTATTTCATGCTTGTTCACATTTATTTCTGTGCCTGATGCAAATAACACCTTTCTCTATTTGAATTCCCAAGATCCATTATTCCTAGTTTTGGAACACAGATCTCACATGAATGGTCTAAATTTTTTCCTTACTTATACGATGCCTTTTTAATTCCAATCAAGAACACTGCCAAAGTCAATTCCTTTTCATACAGATTATAATGCCTTCTTTCTGCCATTTTTGTCTGATTTATATTCTCTTGGCCCAGCTAGAGTCCCATATGTTGCACCAAATCTCAAATATGCTTTGTAAATAATGAGTTTTGAAGAAACCTCCCAATCAGTTCCGAACATCACAGATTGATCCCACCATGCCCTGTTTTAAAGCAAGTAAAACAGAGCTTTATTTTGTGTTTGGATGATGATGATGATCGTAATAATAATTGCCTTTGTCCGAGGATTAAGGAAAAAATCAATTAAGTCATTCATGCGTCAAATATTATCCATATATAACTTCTCAGATTTTCTCATTAAACGTATTAGAATCATATGGTTTATTTGATGATCTAGCACGATACCGAAATAAGGATTATGAAATAGAATAAATATGGCCATGTTTAAAGTAATCATCTGTTTAAAGGACTATGATTTTTCTACTTGTTACTCGTGAGTGAAAATGTTGGCAATCAAGATAACTTATATATCTGTCCTCACCGAAGCCAAAAGATTACAAAATAACGTCAAAAATGATGTCGGTTCCTCCTACTGGAAAAAAGTTATTAAAATGGGGCAATGAAAACATCATTTTTGAGATGATAAGAACATGAGAACGAAAGGTTATTAAAATAAGACGATAAAAGGAAACGTCATTTTTGGCATCTCAGAAATAACATCCTTAAAAACAGAGTCATAGCTTTATGGTTGTTGTGGAGTCTTCAGAGATCGGTAATACTAACCATAGAAGAAACATCGTTATCCACTTAAATGTATTGTGCTTCGTGTGAGAACAAAGCGTAGCTCATCATGTTGATTTTGTTTTGCTGAAAGATTATGTATGGTCAAGCGATCTGTGTTCAGAGACAACAATAATATTCTTATCAAACAAACATCGGAGTCAATTTTAAACAAGTCTTTATGCATGACCTAGGAGCATTCTCATTTGGCGGGGGGCCAAATTGCATCTAATTATTACTCGTTGCATAGTCTATACCAATAATAAGTCCTTTTGTGAAAATTAAAAAGGACAACATGAAGCACCCGAATAGTTGCTAAAATCCAAAATGCCTATGTTGAGCCATCAAGTTGGCATGCTCTTATTGAGCCACTTTGACCACTTTTGCATCCTCTACCTCCTCATCATGAATAGCTTAAAGCATTACCTCGTTGCTCTTAAGATCATTGTCTAAACCCTTTAGAACATTTTATATGCTATTAACTTCAAATTTGCTCACAGTAAAAAATCTTAGGACCTGTTTGGTTCAACCCCATTGTAGGCCAGTGATTGTAATGGGGATTACATTATCAAGAGAATGATGTTTGGTTACTTTTTAGTATGGTAATAAGGTTTATCATGGTAATGATGATTACCAAAAATTTGGTAATCTCTGTTCATACTTTCCTCATGAATACTTATTACCATCCCATTGCATGTTTTAAAAAGTTTTATTTACCCATCATATCTAATATAAAAAGACACAATATCCTCAATCCCTCCACTCATCTTCTTTTTCCTTGGACTTCTTCTTCCCCCGCTTCTATCTCACTCATTTCCATTGTCGACGGTGTCATCATCAATGCCCCACTACCTCCTTCCTTTGCCTCCACCATCTTCTTCAATGCCGATGGAGCCTGTTCCTTCAATGCCAACAAAGTTTCATCTCTCAATCATGACTCCTTCTCACAATTGCACTCCAAGGCTTTCATTTTTGAAGTTCAATCTCAACACCAAGCAATTGAAGAGGATGTAGGAAGAGGAGGATCAATAGTTTTGATTTTCCCAAAGACTCAAAAAATTGATTCCAAATTTGTATAGTTAGTTCCAGGTTTAATTTGTCATTCTTTGTGTCTTAGTTAGTTACTTCCAGAAAATTGGTTCCAAATCTGTATAGTTTGTGGCTAGACTTGTGCTTCATGAGTTTTGATTCTATACTGAAATTAATGTCATGCATGTTTCCCTTGTCATTTTATTTTTTGTCGTTGAAGAAATACAAAAGGAGAAGGCAAACCTTTTTTTTTTTTCCCTGTTGGATAATGATATTTTGGTCTTTTATGTGTTTACATATATAATCTAGTATAAAAATTAATTTTCTTTTGTACATCTCCAATGTCATACTAAACATTCTGATGGTAATCAAGATTGCATTACACCTCATTGCATTGCATAGTAGAGGATACGTCTAACTGAACCAAACAGGCCCTTACTATTTATATACTCAATCCAGTCCTTATCAAAACCCAAAAGATAAGCATCCTTCAAATGTTTTGCCAACATCACCTTGTCGGCCTCGGTGATGGTGAAGGGATGGTTCGAGATTATGTAGCAATCTATATACATAGAGGAAAAATAATCTCACTTTTGGGGACGTCTTTTTATGAAGCATTACCCTTTATAAGCTGCTCCCATTTCGCTCGCCACTACTATGGGAATCGTTTTTGCTTTCTTTTTCTCTGGCTACTAAGATGTTTCAGTTCGCCAGGTTGTCTCTTGCCTGCCCATGGATTCAGTAGCAGTTCGAAAGGTTGACCTATTCGGGAATCTCTGGATTTACGCTTATTTTCAATCGAAGCATTTATAACACTTGGACTTCTTTCTTGGTTAGTCTTCATTGAAAAAAAAAGAAAAGAAATGAATGAGTATTTAGTAGAAAATCAATTCAACTAGTATTAGAAAAGAGAAAGAAAGTTTTATGAGAAATGACTTATTTGTGTGTGTACAGTTGTTCTGGCTACATAGGATAAGTTGACCTTTCCCCAAAAAAAATTGGTATTATTAATGATTTATCTTTACTCAAACATAAAAATTGTTTTTTCATCTCTTGTCATTTTGCATAGTGAACTTAATGTTTAGTAGGAGTATTAACTTTATAGTCCCTGTTTTGATAATTCTTTTTTTTTAAAAAAAAAAAATCAATCTCCTCATGAACTTTCCAAATGACATAAATACCCTTAATTATGCTGCCCTGTTTCTAACAAAGTGACTGTTAGAGAAAGTCTTTGGCATGTTAGGGACATGGATATCTCGCACAAAATCTCAAATATGAATCGTGTTTTTCATAATGCTTCCCAATAATGTGGTTTGTTAGAGTTTTAATACTCCTTTAATCCTATTTATAGGGCTAAGAGAAAATAAGTTTTTTGGTTCTATTTATAGAGTAGAGAGATAGATTTTTCATATAAATGTACACCTTTACCCTTTCTTTATTATTATATTGACTTTGTTTTCAGGGGATATAATGTATATTAAATAGGGTTAAAGTTAAAAAGTTATTAAATTTTAAATGAGAGTTAATGAAGTTTAAGATTTTCATTGGTTTGTATGAAACATGTTAGAAGTTACTTATAGATATAATCAGAAGAGTAGCGAAAGTGATATTTGTGCAGTTTTGGGCAATTCATTTTCGCCATACCGTTTTGGAAATATCACCTTGAAAATACATAAGCCTTTGGTGATAAAGAGAAATTAAGAAAGTGAGGGACCATTGGCAGCCCTTGAAGTGAAAATGCCTGCTTTGAAAAGAATCAATCTGTAAGTAAAGTATATTTGATATTAGCATCTCAAATGCCATGTTTTATTACATTCTTAATTATAAACATAACAGAGGCTCATTATATATGCATGGAAAGAGAGAAATTCTAAAGTATTTGATGATAAAAAGTTCCCCCGTTTGCAAATTCTAAAATCTGAAATTAGTGTGAAAGTGAGATATTGTCTTCCAGAGAAAGCAAGGCAAGTTGATATAGATGATCTTAGAGTCTGCATTATTGTGTAGAATCCATATTGTAAATGTTATAAATTTTTTTGTCACCAATAGAGATTTTGGAAAAGATACTTAAGAACTCGTTTCAAAAGGTGGCCTAAATTTCTTTTGCTCCCCGTTTGTGTGCACGTAGTTGTTCTGGTTTATGCGACGAATTAAAATTCCAAAAAGAAAAAGCAAAATTCTCGCTTGACGTTAAGGCCTCGATCGCATAGGGAAGGGAATTTGCGTCACTTACATGTACGATGCCGTTTTCAATATCCAACAAGAACAGGGGAAAGACTCAGATAGCATAAAACATTAGAACGGATGAATTCATTAATTCAGAATTAAAGAGAGGTAAGTTGATAAAGACTTGTAATTTGCTTTATCATAAAATGTCAAACAGAGGATACCGCACATTGATCTTACCATGCTCTGTTTTAAAGCAGGTACAACAGATCTTTGTTTTGTGTTTGAATTATTATTATTATTCAATAACTTAATATTCAAAATTAAATAAATTAATATATATTTAACATTGACTGTCTTTGTGCAAAAAGAAATTAGTAAAGAAGAATATTATCAACTGCATTCAGTTCCATCCACTCAAATATAAAAATGTCAATATGTTTTGCAAACATTTTTCCACATGGAGAGCAGTCTCGTGATAACATATACATGAAGTGAACATCTTTTAATCACTCAAAAACAACAAACACGAAGCATGAAAATAAAAGTACAAGTTTCTGGTCACACCTGTAATTTTAGTGAAATTCAAAAGCATCTCTAAACACCCTCAACATTGCAGAGTTTGATATCAATAGATGAAGTGCACATCTTTTAATAACCCAAAAAAAAAACATGAAGCAAGGAAAAGAAATCCAAGCTAGAATCCAAAATGTTTATTTTTAGCAGCAATCATTTCCCTGTATTGGTTTTGCCTTGCTAGAATCTCTTGTCGGGCCTTCAAAAGCTGAGTATGATTTGCCATCACATTTGCATGCTCTTGTAACGCAGCTTCCAGGTGCTTTTGAGCCATTTCGGCCACTTGAGCTGCCTTAACCTCTTGATTTCGAGTAGCTGCAAGCATTGCCTCATTGGTCTTGAGATCACTGTCCAAACCCGTTATAATTTCTTGGATGCCATCAAAATCAGATACATCACTATTAAAAACCTTAGTCTTAATAGATTCAAGCCAGTCCTTATCAAAACCAACAAAACGAGCATCCTTTAATTTCTCTTCCAACAACCTCTTGTCTGCCTCAGTGATTGTGAAGGGTGTTCTGGTGGTTAGAATGTGGAGTATATCAATCAATACCCTATAGGATACGCACAGCATTTGGGTGCTTCGATCATTTGTAGACAGACGCAGTTGTGGGTGAGTCTTGAGTGACTCTTCCAATAAAGAAGTCTCAGAACCCTCTAATTTCATCATCTCAACTATCTCTTGCACTCCACTAACATTCAAAGCTTGGTCAGTCTCAAGAACAGAAGGTGCCGAATCTGAAGGAGTAGAAAATGGAAGCAACGAAGATTGTGCATGCTCAGTATTAATATTTGATGACTTTGTCACATCAGGATGCTTAATTTGGCCTAATAAACCATCACATTATTAGTAGAATATTTAAGTGGCCCAAAGCAACATGATCAACATTAAAGGGAATAGATAGATAACCTCTAGAACATGACAGCTCTTGTTCCATCTGCCAAAGATTGCTTGGGTCATCAGTCACATGCTCACTTGAATTTGGTTGGCCACCACGGGACGCCATTTTTGTCTTGGATTCATCTTGAGTTACATTTGTCTCATTGATGTCCTTGTCATTATTAACACCCTTGTGTCGAGTCGTTGACCGTGGAATGGGTACACCATTACCAATGACATTGGCAGGAGGCTCATCAGAAACTTTAATATCATCTGCAACACCATGAGTTCGCTGGTTAGTGGTTTCAAAACCTTTTGTCTATTTCTTCTTAAACTAGTGAAGTAATGATAGAATGAAAACTATCTAAGAATTAATCGACAAAGACGACATCCAAAGAAGAGTTCAAGGAAACTCACTACCAGTAGGCTTGCAGAGTGAAGCTTTTGAAGATTTAGCACTTCGTGGCGAGATTGCCTTAGAAGTTTGCTCACTTGAAACAGTTGCCGTACATGGCACAAGCGGGTCTCCTATGAAATCATGTGTGCGGATAATATAGTTATCAAATGCTCTAAGGATAAAAGATTTCATTTATAGAAACCAATTGAGTATCGTACCAAGAATGGAAGTCTTGGGCTTTTCTTTTAGGAAAGAGTTCTTTGCTTTTGTGTCACTTTGACGATATCGAGTAGTTATCAAGCCACCTGCGAAGCCCAAAGTAAGTAACCAATATATTACTTATAAGACAAGACACTAAAATATATGTTACCTTCTCTTTCCTCTTCCTCCTGAGATTGTGTACCATGTCTTGTCATTTCTTCTTTTGACTGTGGCTCCATCATGATTGATTCCATTTTCAGTTCTTTGTTGACTGACTCATCCTATGTAAAGATAAATATGAAAGGGACATAAGTTCAAATATCTAGCATAAATATATGTATTGATATTAGAAATAACAATAAGTCACATTTGAGCATTAATTCTATAATGAACTAAATGCTATGTTTGTAGTTCATATTACTTTTATTAGTTGTAATTAAATCAGTTGGATGATGTTTCAGTTTTCTTTTGAATTTTGGCTCTAAGGTGCACTTGAATACCACTTTTTTTTTTTTTTTTAAATTGACCTGCATCAAACAAAATGGTTAGTACTTATTTTTTAGGCTGCATTTGACATACCATCCAATGTGCCTTTGCAAAATTCTGTGAGTCCAATGTAGATTGTTCTGGATCAATCATGGTTCTTTCATTTCTCGCCACTTTGCCCATCAACTCATCCTATGTGAAAGATAAATATATAAAAGGCAAAAGTTCGAACAAGCTAGCATGAATAAAGAATAATAATCTACAGGCAAAGGATGATGATGATGATGATATCACTTTTCAAGATGCATTTTATGGACCGGTTTTGTTTATAATACTTGGATATTCCCCTCGTAATCATTCTTCCAGAAAGAAAAATAGAATTACTTATGCAGTAGGATCTTTCTTTACTTTCATTGCTAGAAAGAAATTTTATTATATACTAGTTTTTTTATTTTGTATTTTGACCGATGCCTCTATTATATATAATCAAGGGAAAGTCATAGAGAAATCCCATTAAGCAACTTATTTACTAATAGATCCTATTCACATAGCGCCGGTGGTATTTACGTGTAATCCTTCATGACTAAAAAGAAATATGTCTCCTTTATCTGTTTGTTTAAGGTTTTATTAAAAAAAATAGAGAATAAGTTTAACTTTGCGGTAATTTTCTTGATCAACACCTTAGTGAAAATAAAGCAAATAGATAGATAGATAAAGAGATAAGGCAAAACATACTGATTGTCCTATTACAATTGAGTCAGATGATAAATTTGTCTTCTTCAGCTTCTCAAAAGTAATACCCTCTTCGACGATCTCCTTTGCATCTTCCTTATTACCCTAACCAACACCAAATGATAAAAAGGTTTAGTTATGAATGAAAATGTTCAAATATGACATCAAATTCAAATTTTTATGCCAACATTTAGAGTGCAAAAGCATGGTTTGCTTCAAGATAATTTTGAAACAGAGAAAGAGAAAGAAAATGAATATAGTGCACTAGTGAATGGCGGCATATGATTAAAGCTTGTAGACATAATCATGCTGGTGACAAGAGAAAGTAAGAAAATGCCATTAACAAAAATAATATGTGTATAGCAATGAAATGAGACATACTCTTGTGAAATTTGAGGAACTAGTTGTGGTTTGTTGGGGTTCTAAGGCTTGTCTTCCATTTGTATGGAAAAAAAGATTCTGCTCTGGCTCTCCCCAAATTTTAGAATCTTGATTTTTACAGTCATCAGAAAATTGAGTGGTTGTAGTTTCTGCAAGTACATAATAATTTTTAATTAGAATTAATGACGGACTTCTTTGAATGCATACCATAAAAAGAAAATTTGGAACAATCATGTACTATGGAAGATTTTTCCAATTTCTTATATTAAAACCTGAATAATGAGCTTTTCATATGTTTGCATGAATGCATTTGAATAATATTCCTATTCCTTTTGTGCGTTAGGTTACCTGTATCAACTCTTATATTACCATTTCCACTTGGGACGATGGCATGGCCAAGAGATTTGTTAGAAGCTTGAACATCATCTACAACATTAGAAGTTTGTTGGTTAGTGGTTTTTAAATATTTCTTCCTATATTAATGAAGAAACATAATGTTAAAATGAAAACCATCCAAAATATAATTGTAAAAGCAAATAAAGATTTATAATAGGTAGAATCACTTACAAGGCATAGACTAGAGTCTTGTGCAAGGTTAGTGACACTCCTCATAGCAAGATTAGCTTCTGCGGTGTATGAATAAAACTTGAATGAAATGTCACTATAAGATGACAACAAAGAAAATCACCATTGGAAGGCTTGGGGAGAACGGTTGAAAGACTTTGATTGAGGCTTGTTGAAGCTTTTGTTGACATAGGACTCAATGGCAAGATTGCCTCAAAAGTTTGCTTGCTCGAAATAATTGTTAAAGGTGGCACAGTTGGGTCATCTATGAAAAAATGATTATTATATCAAAACAAATGATGAAATACCTCATTGAAAGAAAGAAACAAGTACCATCCATAGAGGTTTTGGACTCCTCTGGTAAAGAACTGCTACACCTCATGCCACTTATTTGAGGACGTCCAGTTGTTATCAAGCTCTCTGTAAAACCCAAAATAAATAACCAGTATTTCCTACAAAACTAACACATCAATATTTTACCTTCCTCTTCCTCTTCCTCTTCAAAAATCTTGGCACTTGCATGAGTCTTGTCTCTTGTAGGAAGAACAGTGAAGTTGGAACTTCTATGAATTGGCGCCTTCTATTAGAAACCAGTGGCCATATAAAACAATGATGATAAGTTAGTGTAGTTGTTTTCTTTGTACTCTATCCAACACCCCAATATATAAAAAGAAGCTTTATGGAGATCGGCTAACAAATAAGTCTTAAAAGAATTTTGAATCCAATGATGAAAAGAAGCTTTACTTAGTTCATGTCAAATTCTTTAAAAATTTGGAACACACACACACACACACACTCTATTTATCTGCGTTAGAGTTTATTGTTGGCATTTAAAATATCCCATTCAAATTATATGTTTTTCTTCTACCAACTAAATTTTTTAGAAAAAAAACATAATTGGGTTCATATCACAACTTTAAAGCACGGAAAGAAAACTATTGTGTAATAGAGACACAAATAGAGAATAAAAATCTATAAATAAAAGACAATTAGTCTCAGTTTTGGTGGTACTTCTCTTAAATCAGTTCTAATTATTCTGCATGAAAAAGAATTAATTTTTTAGCTAATATTTAGTAGTAATTATAGCATTTGAATTTTGAATACTGATTAAATAAGACCCAAAAGTTGAAAAATATAGTGAATTTATGAGCAAAAGTTTAAATGACAGAAAATTATAGAGCAAAGTTACAATAATTAAAAAAAGGCCCAAAAATTAGAGAAAAGTAGAGAAAAGATTTTCAAAGCATATTTGAGGTTTAGGGACATTATTTAAAGACTAAATTACGCGTTTGGTTCTTGAATTGTATAAAAGATTTCAATTTGATCCCTTAGTTAAAAAAAATATATTTTTGATTCTTTAATCCTAAAATAGTTAGAGGCTAATATTCAGCCTTAAAATTTTAGAAAAATTATTTTAGGAGCTGGAGAAGCTAATAAAAAAAATCTTCATACAAAGTGTCCCAGACTAAATTTCGGAATTTACTGGGAAAGTTTTGTACTGATTAGTGATGGGTACAATGGCAATTTCACTTTCTCAAGCCTGAAAAGAAAAATGAGCCAATGGGTAGTCCAATTTAAAAAGTATTGTAAAGAGCATCAGATTTGTTGGGTTGGGATTCATGAAATGCCAACATAAGATGCTTATGTAGTAAGCTCGCCTCTATCTAAACCACTATATTTAAAGTTCATTTTGGCCCTTGCAACAGCGCGCAGAGAGAGAGAGAGAGAGCTAGAGCTGAGGAAAGGTGAAGAAGTAATCGAAGAAGAAGGAAAGTTCTCCCCTCACATGCAACTGAACCTTAAACCTTATTATTCCATCAATATTTTTCCAGTGGCTGTGTGTTGCGCAAATAGAAGAGAGGTTTAAATATGGTTTTCAAAGAGAGAAAGGGAGGGACGCATGCATTAAGCTATAAAAATCATATTTAGATGATGGATGGGGGTTGATTTTATTCCATGCATGTTGATATGTGTGAGAAGAAGTGGATTTTTGAAGCTGGAGTTTCTGTTCCAGGGGAGTATTTATTTAACTTCTCTTACGGGAGCTGAAATCTGGAATTCAGAAGCTGATTTTTTCCCACTGTTATAATGTTTAATTACGTACTAAGTTTATAATTAAGTGGGAACTAAATAATAGTAAACACCTAAAGCCCTCAAAGTGAAATATGGATGAAGTGAAGTGGCTAAACCGAGTTTTATTCTCTTCCCTTGTTCGGTCAAAGTAACTGGAACATTTTAAAATGTGAAGGGAAGGCTACCCAAAACTTTAGAAGTGGATGAACTACACATGTAAAGGGTCTAGTGGCTCTTGTATAGTGATTATGGGCAACTGGAACATCATCAAATCATTTTGTGAACTTTAATTCTTATCCCCTGCTTGGACAGCACCCTTTAGATGTTTATTGAATTAAAAATTTTGTCACTCAGAGAGGTTTAAATGTTACTGTTTTGATATGTTATAACATGGAACAATTGTTCTAAATTCCCGTCCAGCACCTAAGGCGTAGTTAAAGGCCCCTAGCTTGTGTTTGGTGGCTCTTTTAGAGTGTTTGGCAAGAAGACGATTAAATTTTATAAGTCTACTATTAAGCCCTGTTTTTTGATAGCATAGTTTTAGTAAGAGGAAGTCAAGTTTTGGTTAAATTTCAATATGATAATGAGCTTAATAGGGACCTTGGTGTAGTAGCAAGTCTCTAGCATAAGTTTGGGTCTATTAAACAAAAAATTAAAGTTGTAAGGCCGCCTTGTTCGGCCTGCATGCCTGAGAGAGATAAAGGTGAACATTGATTAATTTATCCGATGGTTTCAGATGTAGTACAGTAGTATTTGGGGGGGGGGAGTTAAGAATTAGTTAGAGCATAAAGCTTTTTCAAGAGCTAAATTCAGAGTTTTGAACCACTATTTTTGGAGCTATATTGTATTAATTATGAATTTTTAAAGTATTTTAGAAAATCTCATCCCAACAATTGGAAGGCATTAGCGATAGAACCTATAGTGTTTTGGGAAAAAAGTTTTAATTGTTTGACTTTCGGGGATTCTAAGGGGTCATAAGTAGTTATTAAATGGCTAAACATCTTTAATTAGTGAACCTAAATAAGGTTTGATGGTAACTTTATTTCCTTCCTTTGTTAAAAGAAATATTATTATTTACTAATTTTTTTATTTCAGATTTTCAACCCACTCCTTAATAAAATTAAAATAAACTCCGAAAGGTTTGCCACCTTATAAAATTAGAATCAAATTATGTAAAAAAAAAAAAATCAATCAAATGATGATGATGTCTTTTTGGTATTTTCAAAATAGCATGCTTATCAAAATGGAATTATATATTGTTTCTTGAATACCCTGTCCAAAACTATAAGTTTTTTCGCCCAGTTGATGTCAAATTCATTAAGCAGTTGGAATACACACACTTGTGTGTACATGCGTGTGGGTGTGTTTTCAGCATTTTAAATATGATCTTCAAACTCTGTTTTTCTTATAACAAGGATAAATTTTTTACCGTTGTGACAAAATTAAAATAATCAAGCATGCATATAATCATGATGGGGACCATTGAAGAAGCGGTAAAATGATGCCATTAGCAACAAAATCATACCTCCGTGAGGGATTGTTGTGTTGTTTCTCCTATATTTAAAAATTGTTCGGTACTGAGATGAGAAGAAAGCTTCTCCTTTGCTTTTTCTTCAACTTGAGAATATGTTGTTTCAGGGCCTACTTGAAGTTGGGTAGTTGAAATTTCTGAAAGTAAGATCTTAATGTTACAATAAAACACATACAGTAATGTCCAATTTTGTAGAGAATAAATACTTCTATGAATGCATACCATAAAAAGAAAACTTGGGACAATCATCCACTTTCGTGTTATAGTCTCCTTTCAAAGTTTGAAAATCAATCCCATGGCAGAGACTAACAAGGTTGGGAAGATATATGAGCTCCAATTGATGTAATTGTTGAAGCACATCCTTCATGACCATCTCTTTCATCTCTCCTTGTCTTACCAATACATGCTCAAGTTCATTGGCTCTACTTATCTCCAAAGATCTTAGTTTTGGAAGGATACTAGAAACAGTGATAGAGAACAAGTACCTCAATTTGTCACAATCATTGACAGAGACTTGTTCTAAGTTGGGAAAGCATGGTTCATGGCACAAATGATGATCATCATCATTTGTTTCATAATCTTTTTCAACAATGTTAACTAATTCCTCACATTTTGATATTCTTAGTTCCGTCAACATTGGGAGGCTTTGCACTGTAGAAGTGGAGAAGATAACTTTGAGCTTTTTGCATCCACTAATGTATAGCTCCTGAAGACTATGGAGGTATATGATATGTTTAGGCCCCACACATATATTCACCAACTCGCTTAGATTCTGCAAGTTCAACATTTGTAAACTTGATGTCAATGGTTCAGGTCCCTCCCCATTTTGTTCTGTGTTCAAATGTATCAAATCAACAATTTCTTTTATTTTGGAGTCACAAACTATTAGAGTTTTTGAAGTTTGGCCGCACATCTCCACTGCCTACAAAATCCATAAAAGATAAATCAATTCCAAATTTATTTTTCTAACAAAAAGAACTTTAAAATGGGCAGTCCAGTTTCAACAAAATCATGGTAGAGTTTACAGTGACTGAAACTACTAAATAAAAATTCATAAGAAACAAATATATTTGAATGTTAAATATAAATGTTATTTTTTCACACATGTATGTCTGAAAACAACAACGAAAAAGCCCTTATAGTTTACAAAAATAGAGAATTAGTGAGGTAATATTATTATTTTCTGCTTCTTTACGAGATCATATGAATGAAGTAGGGAGAAATATTATTATAATATAACTTATCAAATGGGGGAATATATTAACACTAGCACGAGAAGTAGAACAGAGTCATACCTTTTTTTCCTGTTGTTTTGTATGCCAACAAAATAAAAAATCTTTGAAAGGTCTTGTAAATTCTAAAAATCCTCCCAAAGAATGGACAACCTTGGAGATAACCCTCTCAAATAGTAGTTTTCGGGGTAAATGCTAACAAGTCGTGGCACACCATTAATTGAAAGATCTTTCAAAGTAGGGAAGTCCATGTGGATTTTGATACCCTCATTCTGATGAGTTATATTGTGTTCATGTTGGCTTCTTCCAAATACATGGACTGTTAATATATATAATAAACAGTCCATGTGGATTTTGATACCCTCAACAAAGGAGCCCCTATGATATCCAAAGACTCCAGATATGCATGGCATTTGAAAGCATATGCGGGGAATAAATATTCCAATGCAGTGCAGTCATAAAGTCGTAACCGTTTCAACTTTGGAAAGATGAAATTATAGTTCATATGAGTTCCAGCATCTG